TCCTGCGCTGGAGACCCTGCTGACTGACCTGAACAGGCAGCAACAGTAATTAATTACAGAAATAAGCTTTATTTAATGTTTTTGAGGTTAAGCCTAAAGCAAGTAACTAAAAACAAGCAAAGTTTATTTAGCTCATATATACTTAATAGATATAGGACCTCAAAACATTTTTAGAGATCTGCTGACTTTGGAACTTAAAGTGTTTAATGTAACATTAAACATTTAGGTCTCTAAAGGTGATAGGACACCCTCACCTGGATTGTGGTAACCTTAACTACTGGGCATAACTGCCTCATGCCTCGCTGCCATCAAAGCTCTGCCCAAACTTCAGATACTGTTGGGTTGATTCTGTACTCTCTCCTGGTCAAAGTAAGGTCAGCCCCCAAGTTCCTCACCTCTCCTCCAGATTTTCTGGGCCTGGTGACTGAAGGCCAATGCTGGCCTGGACCTCAGCCCCCCCAAAGCCATCAAAGACACTACAGGAGCCTAGGGTGACCGTCTAGGTAATGGGTAAGTCTCGGTCATTTTAATTAGTAACTAGGACATTTGCATACTTCCTGCTCTAATGTATCCTTCTCTGATGGCATGGACAGCTAGGCTAACTGTAGCTTTGTCAGTTTAACAGCAGCTGGCAAGCAAGCAGCTCCTGCCTGCAAGGCTGCAGCTACCATGATAGTTCATTCATATGTAAAAATCAGGCCTTGCTGTTCCTAGAGCTACTAAGTCTCCTGCTGAGAAAGATAGGCAGGTTTTCCTTGCCAACAGGGTTCATATTAAAGGACAAACAGGTTTCAGATGTAACTTTTTACTGTTCTTTTATTTCAAAGAACTTGCTTTGCAAAGACTGCTCTCAGTAAGAAATTTGTGCCTCCAGTTAATGACTAGACGGAGAAAAGGTTTAAAGTCTATGTAAGTTCCGAGGGTCTAAGAAAGTGATCTAAGGTACAGAGAGGTCTGAGGATGTGAAGGCTTTAAGTCTGTTCTGAGGGTCTAAGAACGCGACTTACCGTGTGTAAATTCAAGTTGTAAAGGTTTAAGAGAATGACTTAAGGTATATGAAAAATGGGAATGTTTCATATTTCTTTCCCTCTCTGTTATTGTTATATCAAAATTTCAAAAGTTCAGAGTTTTAACATTGATCGATGGAATTCTGATAAGCTGGCAGGGCATTGATCATTATTATAGTCACAAGGACGAGATTTCTAATTTCATTTGGTTGTCTTCTAAGTATAGACTTAAAGGTACTTCTCATTGGGCTAAAATTGCCTCTGTCAAAACTATATATCCATCCCACTGGACAGAGGTGAAATAAATGTTCTTTTTTTTTTTTTAACCCAAAGCCATAGCTTTTGCTGATTCAAAGGTGGGAATGTACTCCAGCTGTCTTAACAGACACCCATTAGCTGCTTTTTCCACAATGTAGATTTCCTTACAGATTACAAACAGTGGCAAAGCTAATATCTCTAAAACTTTTATCTCTTTTTTGTAAACTAAAAAATTCATGTAAGCTTCAGGGAATCAAAGGAGTCCTAAGACTTGAATCTGCCTCCCACAAGTGAAAAGGATTCCAGATAAGAACCACCCAAGTCTCTCCACCTGCCTATTCCTGAGGATAGGATCCCCCCCAACCCCCCCACCCTGCTTCCATCTCCTCCATCCCCGTCCCACTCTTTCTTGAGACTCTCTCCTTCCCAATTACTAGGACTATAGGCCTGAAAGTTCCAAGTGTAAGATTTTCCTTTACGTTTCCTAAATTTTAACTCCTGTCCCTAGTTTATATCTGTCTCAGCAGATTTCCACTGAGACAGATTTCAGATGACAGACACCACCCAGGAATCAGCTCCGGACTACAAACTGACCCAAATGGCTTTGAGCCCTGGACTTGCTGAAAGCTGATGTGGACCAATCCAGCCGATGTGATTGCTCCCCGTTTCTCCAGCTGGGTCAGCTCACCAGATGCTTCTGATTACCTGAATCTGAGGATGACATCCTAATTTCAGCATGAAGTAATTAAAGAGAGTAGAGTATGTCACCCATTCCTTAACAGGCTGGAATGCTAGGTCAAAAGGACCTGGCATACGGGACAAAATGGCTACCTATCATGCCTACTGGCATACCAGGTACTTGTTAAAACCAAATCGACTCAGATCTATCAACAGGTAGATTGATTAGCTGAAACTGGTCTACAATACAATAGGGTTCTGGTTTATACAGAACAAGGAGGTATTGTGTGGCTTTAAAAGAAAATTGTTTCTATAACTAACTGTTAGAGATAACCCCACTGTCCTTAAATAAATAAATAAATATCGCAAAAAAAGGAGGTATGGGGGGACCTGTGATGAAATAAATGACTGGTCCCCATTCTTATTTTCAGGCTCCTCCTGGAAAGTAACTGATGTCAGCCAATGCAGGGCCTTTGACCTTTCTGTTTCTACTAAATACTGTTGGCCCTGTGTCATTAATGCCTTAACTAGATGATAATTCTCATCTGGGTACCATTAAGCTGATGGTTATTAGATCCCAATGTAAACAGGTACCTGCCACAGAGTCAAGGATTTGACTCAGGATACAACCCAAAGGGGATGTGACTCATCATCATTTTCTGGGAACCTCAGAATGCTCCTGACCAGAGTCCACCATCTTGGCCAGTATTTAATTAAAGCTTGCTTCAAATTTGGCTCAAAATATTGTGGTAGTGGTCTTATTCTCAGCCTGTGGGATTAACACAAGGTCACATGGTGGAGCTACTGCTATCCCGCCTGGACCTCAGGATGATAAAGTAAGAAGACACCAATTTAAGCAGCTGTTAATCGTTCAGTGCTATAACCCGAAGTCCCCAGGGGAAAGGCCACACAATTGTGTGGAAGACTCTAAGCCAGCCATGGGGTTTGAACTTTACAACTTGGGAGAGCTGTAATGCTGCTGGTTCAGAATCCAGATTATCTTGGGCTATCTTAATAACCCCTTTAGCCATTCAGCACCCATGTATCTGATACAACGTCCTCCCAAGTACCAGGCAAAATCTTCAGAATTATTAACTCTCAACCAACACAAGGGCTAACACTGTCATCACACAGCATCTAAAACCAGTGGCAGAGATGTTCCCACTTTACTGTAACCTACTTACCATGGGATGGATAGATACTTTAATAAATCATGAGCTTCTTTTGTTTTGTGTCTATAAAAAATTCACATAATTGTTTCCATTGTATTGGTTCCTGGGCAACGGTTGGCTATCTTGTATTCTCTCGGAGGTGTGTCACAGTCACTTCAGCTGTCAACATGACAAACACTTAAGAGTCATTTGGGAAGAGGGAACTCAATGAAGCGTTGCCTCCAACAGACTGGCCTGGGGTCATGTCTGAGAAATGAGTTGTCAACTGATGTAGGAGGGGCCAGGCACTGTGAATTGAGCCATTCCTAGGCAGGTGGGCCTGGGCTGTATAAGAAAGTCACAGGGGTAACCAGTAAGCAGCATTCTTCCACGGCTTCTGCTTCAGTTCCTGCCACCCGGTTCCTCCTGACCTTGCTTCCCTTTATGATGGGCAGTAAGATTAAATAAATCCTTTCCTCTCTAAAACGCTTCTGGTCGTGGTGTTTATTACAGCAACAGAGAAAAACTAAAGCAATTAAGCAAAATGATATCCTAGCTTATATGGGCATCAATTGCTGTTACAATAAATTCATATGTTTGGTAGTATATTTACTATATTTAGTTTTTCTATCTGAAAGGCTAAATATACTCCCCCCCCCCCCACACACACACATACATCCATCTCCTTGAGGATTGAACCCAGGGCTTCACATGCTATGTGCCCTGACTACTGAGCCACCCATCCTAGAGCTCAAGCTGCATCTCCTTACGTGGCTTACTTTCTTGCTTCCCCTTTGCAGACAGGATTTCACTGTGTAGCTCATGTTGAACTGGCAACCTTCCTGGCTGAGCCTCCCTCACACTGGGACTGGAGGCTGTACCACCACACCTGGCTAGACTTTTGTCATTTTCTTTGAGGATAATGGATTCTTTGATTCTAAAAGGATAAAATCCTTTTTATCTTAAGCTGACATTTTTTATAGTGCTAGGCTAACCCTAGCACTCGGGAATCTCAGGCAGGTAGATTGTCAGATCAAGACCAGCCTCTCCTACACAATGAGCCCTTGTTTCAAACATAGGTAAAGTGACACTCAATTTTTTTTCCTTTTCCCTGCTACTGTAAATAACCTGTCCCTTAACTTCAGTTCTAACTAGGCAGATATTCTACCAATTCTAGACTGAGAATACTTCATACCATAGTGCATCATTCTACTTGAAATACATTAAAAAAAAAACAGTGCCAAAGACCTTATTAGGAAACCTTTGCTGAAGATAATACTGAAGCCTTAAATGAGAAGTTACAAGAGCCAAGACCCTGGAAAGTTTTCACGCACAACTGTATGTCAGCCTAAGGGAGCAGTGCTTACAGGCTGTTCTAGTGGAGTCTGGAAGACGCAAGGAGCACAGTATGGATATGCAGACAGTGGAGCTTGCAGAAGGAAGAAACAAGACTCATCAGGAACACACAGCAGCCAAATCGTGTGCTATTTTGGTTAAGAATCTAGCTTTACTTACCCTACCATCCTGAGAACTGAGAGAAGCTAAATTTAAAGATAATGGTCTAACTTTTGGCAGAACTTTCAAGGCGGAATGGTGGTATTCTGGCTGCAGCTGAGCAGCCGTAGCTGACAGATCAGTAGTACTTGCAGAGGCTGGGAGAATACTGAAGGGTTTCCTCAGGGTTAGCACATCTGATACACACCTTAAGCTGGCATCAAAACTCAACAATGTCAAACCATCCTCCACATGGTACCAGTGTTGATGGCACTACTCCATAGGCAAAAGCTTTAAAAAAAAAAAAAACAAGACTGAGGAAGACACGGAGAGCCATTATAGGGCAGGGTCTGATGGGTCCCTACAGAGAGGCCATGGTGAAGCCTAAGTTTTCATGAAGACCCAAGGATACTGAAGATGTCAGGATGTGGAACATTGGTCAAGGAGAGCTGCAGGTATGTAGGATAGCCAGCCTCAGGAAGAATCTGTATGTGCTGAGGTAGTAGAGCTGGAGGGCTGGGTATATCCCAGTCCACTGGAGCCTGTTAGATTTTATCATGAGCTCTAGATGTTGAACACAGAGTTACAGGGTTTGGTATTTACCCTGCTAGAGTTTGAATTTCTTTTGGTGGGTCTGCTTGATGCCATTCTCCTATTTCGAAATGGGGATGTTTATTTTGTCCAAATATACATAGCTTGATTTTTAATTTATTTTATAGACGTCATTTTGAAGAGAGTCTGTATGTCTTAAAGTGTTGGGATTTTTAAAGATATGGGAGTTGTTCAGGTTGGACAAGATTAACAATGAGAGTTTGTGGACTAGGGGTGGAAGTTATGACTTTAAAATGATGTATTGTCTTGTCAAGCTGATAAGGGGTGGTTAGAACTTGTCTGTGGGCATGCCTATGGGTGATTATCTTGATTATGGTAACTGAGGTGGGAAGATCCACCCGTCGTGATGCACCGTTTACTAGGCAAGAAATGCTGAAGTACATGAGAGTGGAGAATGTCGGGTGAGCACACGCATGGATTTGTTTTTCTCTGCTCTGACTACCAGTACATTGTGGTCAACAGTTCTGCACTCTGACTTCCTCCAATGATGAGACTGTGGCTAAAACACACCCTTTCTGGGCTGGTGACATGGCTCAGTGGGGAAAGGCTCTTGTAAAGCATGAAGACCCGGGTTCAACCCCTAGGACTCACAGGGTAGACGGAAAGAACAGACTCCCAAAAGGTGTCTGCTGACCTCTGTATGTGCCATGGCCCATGCATGCCCTACCCTCTAATGAATAAGTAATACATATAGAATAAACTTTCTCTCCTTAGTTGCTTTTATCAGACTATTTTATCACAGTAACAAAAACAATTATGACATGAACAATTCATCTTCTGGTAGTCAGTTCCGTTAGCTTATAAAATGTGGAAACACCTGAGCTAGATCACAGGCGACCACACTCACAGCCTCCCTGGAAGAGCTGCTTATACTTATATGTCCCTTCCTATACAGACACTGTCCTGGTGCACTGTGGGGCATGGTGTTCAGGCTTACTCACTTTTTAAAATATGATTTGTCTCTTATCTCCCTCACTTGAATATAGTTTCTTCAGGACTGGCCCACAGTCTCTCCGGGCTCCCTCCTGAGTGCTTGGCTCCCACCCAGGGCATACCAATTTCACCCTATCCTTAGTCAGGCTACTGGACCACTGCCTCTACTTTGTAGCTTCACAAACCACTTCCCATAGAACAGGCTTATCTTTGAAGGTGGTTTTCTACTCATACACAAAAGTGTAGTGGATTTTTAAGACGCTACGTGTTTGATAAGAAAAAAAATTCTTATTAAAGCCCCAAGGAAGAAATGTAACTAAGAGCACTTGCTGCTCTTGCAAAGGACTCCAGTTTGGTTCCCGGGAGCCATGTCAAATGGCTCACAACTGCCTGGAACTGAAGCTCTAAGGGACCTGACACCTTCTGACCTCCCTCAGGTAATCGTATGTCATCATGCATAGGTGTACACACATGCACACGCACACCCTTGAACACAGACAGGAAAGAGGGAAGGACAGACAGAGGGGGGGAGGGAGGGAGGGGAAGTGAAGGAAGGGAGGTGGAGGTGAAGTGTCTTAGGGTTTCATGCTGTGAAGAGACACTGTGAGCAAGGCAATTTAATTGGTGCTGGAGAAGGAGCTGAGAGTTCTATATCTTGATCCAAAGACAGCCAGAAGGAGACTCTCAAAGCCCATCCCTACAATGACACACTTTCTCCAACAAGGCCACACCTCCTAATAGTGCCATTTCCTGTGTGCCAAACATTCAAACTACTACATGGGGTAAAAATAAATCTTAAAGTGGGGGGGTGAGGTTCTAGTCCATATGTAGACTATTTCACCTTAAAGAAAACTGTGCGAAGGCCAACTATGTTATGTGTACCACACAATGCGGTTGGAAACAGAAGGGAACAGTGGCAGAATAGCACTGACTCTACTTCTAGCAGTTGGAGAGATGAGGCCTAAAAGTGACATTTTCTGAATCAATGATGTACGAGTGGATTATTATTAATACCATATTACTATAATTATTATTATTACTTATATCTTGTTCTGTCATCTAGGTTAAAGGAAACTTAAAGATTACATGCGGTGTAATTCCAATTATGTGCATATATTTTGTTTGTTCTGTTTTTCAAGACAGGGTCTCTCTACATAGCCCTGGCTGTCCTGAGACTCGCTCTGTAGACCAGGCTGGTCTTATACTCATGGAGATCTGTCTGCCTCAGCCTCCTAAGTGCTGGGATTAAAGTATGTGCGACCATGCTATCTATCTATCTATCTATCTATCTATCTATCTATCTATCTATCTATCTATCTATAGAGAGGGAGAGGAAAACTATATCAGGGGACAGCTTGAAGGAAGGACTCAGCTCTCTCCACTCCTTCCATGTGGGTCATGACACTCAGGCTCGGGTCACCAGGCATGGTGACAGGGACTGTCTGGGATGTAGGAAGGAAACAAGCGAATGTGGATACACAAAAGCAACGTGAGGAAACCTGAGGCTCTTAAGGGTGACTGAGGAGGACCTAGAGAAGGATGGACCTGTGCAGGATGTACCACTGGTTATAGGTCCCCCAAACCTAACTTTCATGAAATGAAGAATGAACCACTACAGACAAAATAGAACAGGTATCTCAAAGCAGTAGAAAAGGAAGTGGTAAACTGATCCTATGGACACTTGCTGTCAAGAGAGTGGAAAGGACACTCACAGAGTGGGAAGGGTAAGCCTACATCCGATCTTACCAAACCCTAAAACATCTACTTCCCTGGTTTGCTATCTGAATTTAACTTTCCCAAGGACATACCTGAGTAAGTAGAGGCGTTGAGAAATCCAACTCACCCCTCTCCACTTCCACTGCCTGGGAAGAACAGAGCTTGGAACAGCAGGCAGTAGGAGCGTCCATGAGGGCTTAAATACTGCAGGCTGTTTCAAACAACCTCTGAGTGAGCAAACAGGACTGGAGTGAGGTGAGCGTGTCCAGCTAAGGACGTGGAGATAATGTCCATGGGTGTGGGAGATCTGTGAGAAATGGATTTCACCACAGATGAGGAATTAGCCCAGATGGCTGAAGGCTACATTCACAGTGACTGTGAGGTAAGACCTGGGCACACATGCTGTGGTATCACAGGTGAATGAGGAAACTGAGGGCCTCCCTGAGAGGCCAAGAGGATGAGGAGGCAGTGGCAGATTGACTAAGAAATGATGACAGGAAGGTGGTGATGAAAAAGAGTACACCAAGGATCCATGTCCCACTCCCAGGGAGACGCAGGCATGAGTGT